GTGGGCACTACCAAGGACCCCAATTCTGATGCCCCCACCCCCAGGGGGTAGGGAGTTATTCCCACAGCTCAATTCAGAGGCTGTCAGGGAGGACAGAAACCAGAGGGCACCAAACGAAGGACTTAAAAATATGGTTGCTTTCTTCCACTACCTTTGATTGAAAAGAAACAGGGTTCATGGGAAAACAAAACCAAACCAAACAAAAAATTCTTGAAAGAGAATATGGTAAAAAGAAAACAAAATAGCTCTCTACTTTGAATCAGCTGCTGATAACATTTTGGGGGGTGTTTTCTTCTAGTCCTTTTCAATACACATTTTTAATAATTTCATATCTTTCTTTTTTTAAAAAAAATTAAAACCACTTTACCATCAACAGCTCCCTGTGAAATTACTAATTCTTTGTGGACCTTGTAAGCAAACATTAAGGGCTGCAGTGACACACTATGTCATCAGGGTACACTTGCCACAACATGCATAGCAACCGCAAGTGTTGCCATGGACGTCCTGAGGACATCATTGACCACCATTGACTGGTTCTTGGGAACTGAGTTTTCAAAGGGAGACGAGAGACCAGAGGCTATAAGCAGTTCCCAGGCTTCAGAGGCTTATGCTGACCTGCCTTCCTGGAGTTCTGTCTCATTTTACACCCTCACTAGGAGAAAGAGTGCACTGTTAAAGGAATTCAAAGTTACCATAGTCTCAAAATACCTCTGCACAAAACACTTATTACCAAGAGAAAAGGAGCTTTACCATGGAAAAGGCTGACAGAATCCACCTCGCTCAAGAGATCAAAGTGAACACTGGCAAGAGAAAGAGGAGGAGTCTGCACTCTCTCCAATGGGGCCCCAGCATATCATTCAGACATTCCTGCCTAGGACACTTCATCTGCAGGTTGTCTGAGGAGGGGTCGGAAAAGCCCAAAGTCATGGGCATTCTATAACATCTTTGTACTATTCTTTTGACTTTTCTGTAAGAATTAAATCTTGTTCAAATAGAGAGCTTACAAAGTTGAGTTATGCTCAGAATGAGAATAATAAAGGCTATCTGCTCCTTGGTCCAGCTAACAGGACGAAGTCAGAGGAGCCTCCAGTCAGTTCTTAGCCTGGCTTTTGAGGAGGGCGTAGGGCCTGCACTGTGGGAGGAGATGGCCCACAGGTGGTGCTGGCGCGAGGTCCATCAGGGGCCTATGGACAGGAGGGACAGAGGTGGGATAGAGGCTCCTGCACTATTGGAGGGACAGAAGACCGTTACCGGAGCCTGTGCAGGTTTGGTTTTGAGAGTGGGTTCTTGTCCCATGGCTAATCGCATTTCGTTTGTTTGTTTGTTTGTTTGTTTGTTTTTACACACTGACTAATTCTGACAGACTCCAGGAGAGACTGCCAAAGGGCCTGTCAGCCTTAGGAGGCCAGGGAGGTAGATGGAGATGGTGAACTAGGCACATGGCTTTTGCACCCCGTCAATGACCCCCTCAACCCCCAGAAATGACATAGCAAATTTAGAAATGGTGGACAGCTCTGGACAATAATAAGCGGGGAACAGTGTGGGCTCATGGGGTGGGAAGGCAAACTGGGTGGGGTTGAGTGGGGACGTGCAGTCTAACACAACTCCAGAAGGAGGGTAGGGGAGGTGGGGACAGCTCTGGGTGGCAGAAAGGGGCAGGGCAGCCCTGGACAGAATGGCCACAGCCAGTCCCCTCTTCAGCCCTCGCCTCACTCTCTCTTGCTCCCTGTTCCAAGCCAGTAACCCAGGCAGAGGAATTTGTCCTAAATTCAGAATAGTGAGGACTAACCTTAGGTCAGAATGGAGGGGTAAGTGAGAGTATTTATGTCCCCAGATTGGCTGGTAGCACACATGGGCCTCACGTCCCAGTCTCCAGCAGAGAGATTAGTTATGATCGTTAGTGAGCACTGAGCATTACCCCGGGCCAGAATGAGGACCTCACATGACTTAACTTTCATAAAAATCTATGAGGTGGGAATTATTGTTACCCCTAATGAGGAAACTGAGGCACAGAGAGGTAAGAAGCTCACCCAAGGCTACGTAGCTATACGTGGCTATGTGGAGACTGGCTCTGAATACAATTTGCATTTGCAGTCAAGAGAGTAGGGGATGTTTATTATTAATATGAAGATAATCAGTGTGTTAATGTGAAGATGAGCCCACAACCAAGAATGGCAATCATTTGAAGCAAACATCCCAGAAATGCAAATTTAGTTAAACATTTATAAACCAAGTAATGTAATATACCCATAACAGAATGAGAGAGAAAATTATATGATCATTTTAATAGATGCAGCAAAAGTATTTGATAAAATTCAAAACTTATTTTGAAATAAAAGTCTTAGCAACCTGGAAATAGAGGGACTTCCCCAACCTGATAAAGGGAAGCAAGGTGGGCTGAGGAATGGCCCCCAGAGATGTCCGTGCTGTAATCCCCAAACTTGTGACTGTGTTCCCTAATATGGTAAATGGCACTTTGCAGATGTGATTAAGTTAAGGACCTGGGGATGGGGAGATGATTCAGGATTATCCAGATGGGGTGCTTCGTATAATCATGAGGGTGCTTATAAGAGGGAGGCAGGAGGGTCAGAAGCAGGGGGAGAAGGTGTGATGACAGACACAGAAGTTGGGGTGAGGTCATGGAGATTGGAAGATGCTACCTACACTGCTGGCTTTGGAGACAGAAGGGGCCACAAGCCAGGGAATGCAGGTGACCTCTAGAAGTTGGAAAAGGCAAGGAAAAGCTTCTCCTTCAGAGCCTCTAGAAGGAACTCAGACCTGGGACACCTGGATGCTCGTCCTGTAAAATTCATTTCAGACTTCTGACCTCCAAAGCTGTAAGATAATATATTTGTGTTGTTTTAAGCCACTGAGTTTGTTGTAATTTGTTACAGCAGCAATAGGAAATGAATACAGATATGTACAAGAAAGCTTTAGGTGAAATATTGAATGTCCTGCCACCAAGATCAGGAACAAGGCATGGATGCCTATCTTTGCACTTCTGTTCAATGTTGCAGCAAGTTAGTAAAATAAATGAAAGGTATAGGATTGGAAGAGAAGGGAAAATAATGTCATTCAAGATGACATGATTGTATAGCAGAAAATCCAAAGAATCTACAAACAAAATGGTTACAATTAGATTAATTAGAATGGTTTATAGATTTTACTGTGAAATTAAAATAAAACTTATAGAAGATACAATAAACAGAGATCTTCATGACTTTGGGGGTCAGCAAAGAATTTTAAAACAGGAAGTACTAACCAGAAGGAAATGATTGTTAAATTGAACTACACTAAAATTAGGAACTCTAGTTCATTAAAAGGCACCACCAAGAGAGTGAAAAGGCAGTCCACAGAGTGGGGGAAGCTGTTTGCAATACTTAGAACTAGTGAGTGGCTTATATTAAAAATATATAATGAACTCCTAGAAATTATTAAAAGAAGACAGACAACCGCCCTTAGAAAAGTGGGCAGTAGACAGGAACAGGCACTTCACAACACAAAATCATCAATGGCCCATAAACAGATAGTCACTCTAGTTGGTCACCAGGGAACATGAGATACTAATACATATCCAAATTGCAAGGTAATATTCAAAAGATTGACAATGTGCCAAGTGTTGGAGAGGATGTGGAGCAACTGAAACTCATACCTGTTGGTGGAACTGTGAATTGGTACAATTGCCCTGGAAAACTGTCCTGTTGTATCTACTAAAATTGAACATAAGGCCAGCAATTCCACTCCTTGTATACACGCAAGAGAAATGGTTGCTTATGTTCCCAAAATAGCATGTGCAAGAATATTCATAGCAGTATTATTTGTAATAGCTAAAACACAGTAACAACCCAAATGTTCATCAACTCTAGAGAGAATAATACATTGTTGGCATATGTACACAATGGAATACACAAAGCAAAGAAGGGACTCCTGCTACCTGCATCTCACAGAGGCGACGTTGAATGAAGGAAGCCAGAACCAAAACAGCACAGAGTGATTCCATTTATGTGAGGTTTGAGAATGGATAAAATGTTTCTGAGATAGCAGAACACCCGCTATCTTTGAAAGAAAGAGGATTTCTGGGCAGATGAAAATGTTCTAGATGGCGATTGTGTGGAAGATGCAAAGTTGTATCCATTTGTCAAAAGTGATCAAACTGTATAACTTGATATTTCTGCATTTCACTGTGTATGAATTATGTCTCAGTGAAGAAACAAAACAAATCCAAAACCCAGACCCTTCCCCCTTAGTGTAACAATCAGTTCGGCACGAGCCCCCACCTGTAGAAGACATTATTGGGTGAATGGCTAAGGGAGATCTGCAATGGAGGGTCAGGTGGCCACCATCTGAACCCATGGATCGCAGCATGGCCAACAACGAGGCAGCTAGATGTGCGTGCTTCTTAGGAAAGATGGTAGGAAGCACACAGCCCACCTAGGAAGGAGTCTGTGGACAAAGTGGAACATGGATCCTATCAAGCATCTAGTGTCCAATTAAAGGAAATATGGGAACAGAGAAACAGTTTCCATGACAGTACCAGGAAGCAGACACATCACAGAGGACATTCTACAGGATAATTGACACCATTTTTCAGCTCAAGGCACAGAAAATAAAAGGACATGGGGGAATGCTTGTGCTCGATTAAAAGAGACTGAAAATGTTCAGATCTCCTTTGAAACCCTATGAGAACGAATCTTCTATAGGATGACATTTTCTGAGATAATTGGGTAAATGATGGTCTGGTTAACTTCATTGTGAGCTTGTAGGAAAGTGTCCTATTTTTGAAAAACGCACATTGAGGTATATAAGGATGAAACGACATGTCTGGATTTTGCTTTAAAATATTTTGGCAAAGACCAAAATGAAAGAGAGAAAAAGAATAGATGAAGCAATTGTGGCAAAATCTTGTTCATTGTCCAATCTGGTGATAGGAATGTGAGTTCAATGTGAGTTCACTGGACTTTAGTCTCTTCTTCTGGGCAGGTTTGGATTTTCATAATTAAAAGAAAGAGGAAATGGGGTGGGGTGGGCTGAGGGGTGGGAGCTTAGTCTGTGAAGGACAGGCTCAGGGAACATGCTCACATCTGCACACCTCTGCAGAAGGATCAGACTTTCCTGTAAGCCTAGGAGAACCAGGGGTGGGGCAGTGCAGGAATCAGGAGGGAGTCTGGGAAGCCAAGGTGTAGAGCCCAGAGCAGAGGCTCCAAGGTTGAGGTACACACAGCTAGCTGCCTACCCTTCTTCCTCCTAACAGGTGGCAGCCATATGCCTAGCTGAAAAGCTATACTTCTCAGACTCCCTTGCAGATACTGATGGCCCCGTGACAAATGGAATGTAGTCAGAAATTGTTGGGTGGGGCTTCTGGGAAGAATCTTTTCCAGGGAGGGCTGAGTTGGCAGGTGGGCAGTTTTGCCCTTCTCTTTCTTTGGTCCTTCTCCCTGTCTGGAATGAGATGTGATGGCTGGAACTGCAGCAGCCATTTTGTGACCATGTGACAACCTTGCAGTTGAAAGACTTATGGGTAAAGATGGTGGAGGAGAAAGACTTGGGACCTGGTCACCTGGATGATTTTGTTTGTAGAACTGTTATTGATGGAGCCTCATGGAGCCCTGGACTGCCTCCTACATTTACCATTACTGCAGGAAAAAAATCCCACTTTGTTTATACTCCTATTATTTCAGGTCTCAGTAGCCCATTTCCTAATGGAAACAGAAACATTTCCTTCTGCCCTTCACATGAAGACTAGGTCTGAAGGCATCTGGGCCTAAGGGAGAGAGTGTGCCTCCCACCATCTGGGATTTCAGCTCCCGGCTCCAGAGGTACCTTTGCCTTTTTTTCCATGTTTCTTTTTTTCTTCAGTGACAGAGGAAGAACTCTTGTCTGTGGATTCTGGGCTGTTCTCTGGGGAGACACAGAAATGAGGGCCACAGCAAATGATTTATTTTGTGATAGTGTGAGGTAAGGGAGAGACTCAGACACACTAGGGCTCCCGCTCCCTCACCTGCCTGCTGAGCAGGCTTGGCAAAGTTGCTCAGCTTCTCTGAGCCTCAATTTTCGCATCTGAGATGATCGTGCTGACTTTGCTGGGAAATTGTGAGAATTGTGCAAGAAAATGGCCACGAAATTTTCTAGCACATGTCCCTGGCACACAGGTTTATGTGCCTTCCCTTTCACGCCCTTCAATTTGCTCCTGAAGAGTAGTGCAGGACCATTATACAGGGAGGTCAGAAGGCTCTGCTTCCTGCCCTGCCAGCACTTTTGCTTGAGCTGCCCAGGGCGTCCCTCAGGGTTAGACTGGAAGACACACTTTCTTTGTTGTTCTCTCTCAACTGATACTCCCAAGGAAAGAAGATTTTGGTCCCATACTTCCTTTCACGCCAACTCAGGAATCTTTTGTAGCTTGGAGATTTCAGTCTATGCCAGCCCAGGAGAGCAGCCAGCCCAGAGGGCAGAGTGGGTGGGGGCTGCAGGAGAGTATAGAGGTGTGTTTTGGTGGGCAGCTCAGAGAGCTGGTCCTCTTGGACCAGTGTGAGGGAGGGTAACCTGGGGTAATAAAGGAGAAAGGAGGGCCTGGGAAGTTGGGGGTATGTACCAAGGGCCAGGCCCTGAGTAGATGGGTGATGGGGTGTAAGAAGACTGAAGAAAACAGGAGTCCTGTGGAAATGTCAGGAAGGTCAAGGCCTGGGGCTAAAAACTCAAATGCCTTCAGGATCAAACAGCATACATTGGGTTGTAAAGAAAAGTCATGACGTATTTTTTCTATGTTTTTTGTTGCAAAAATGTGTCATGACTTTTCTGACAATCCAATATAATGGTAAAGGGAAAGGAAGTAGCGGGTGGTGAGGCCTGTGGAGAACTTGGGAGCAGGCTGCTGAATCTTTATTATTTTCTAACTATCTTTCTTAGTGACTATATAGTTAAATTTCCAGGTAGTAAAATTTAATTAACCATATCATAAAAATCAGAAGATACCACTGTGATTTAAATACACTAAAACCAAAAACAAGCAATTCAAAAGCCTAATGAAATTTGATTTTTTCTTAATTGAAAAAGCAATGCACATACATAGTAAATTTTCTAACAATGCAGTTTTAAAATATTGATGTGTTGAATATTGATATGATGTGTTTTTTTATGATAAATCCTTACCCAAAGCTCTCATTACCAGGCAGATTTTTGTATTTTGTATCTACTCAGAGGTATTTTATACACACACACATTTAGATGCCCCTTGCTTTTTCACTAAAAATACATTTGCTTACATGCTAAAACATAGATAAACCTTGAGGACATCATACTAAGTGAAAGAAGTTAGTCACAAAAGGGCAAATACTGTATGATTCCACTTATGTGAGGTCCCTAGTGGAATCAAATACATAGAGGCAGAAAACAGGATGGTGGTTGTCAGATGCTGGTGGGGAGAGGAATGGGGAATTAGTGTTTAGTGGGTACAAATCTTGAGTTTTGCAAGATGAAGCTAGTTGTGGAGCTGGATGGTGGTAATGGTTATGCAACAATGTGAATGTAATTAATGCCATTGAATTGGACACATAAAAATGCTTTAAATGCTTAAAGATAAAAATGCATAAATTTTATTATGTATATTTTACCACAATTTTTTAAAAAAGTTTAAAAAAAACACATCTGCTCATGCACAAGCCTCATTGCTACTTAGCCAGGTCTCCCGGTGGACCATCACTGGAGTGTGTATGGACTGTTTCCCACATACCTGGAACTTTGTCAATCTGATAAATGGCATCTCAGTTTTAATTTGCATTTCTCAATTATGAATGAGATTGTGTTGTTTTTTTCAGATGTTAATTATCCATTTGCTTCTCTCTTTCTATTAGTATCCTTTGCCCTTTTTTCTGTTGGGATGTTGTAGCTTTTAAGTGATTCTTGATAACCTTTACCTATTAAAGGACACTGGCTATTTGTCAGAGCTGCCGAAAATATTTTTCCTTCAGATGATTTGTCGATTACCTTTAGACTGTTTATCATATCTTTTCCTTACAGGACATTTTAATGTTTCCTTAGTGAAATGCTTTGGAGTTTTGTGTCTTGCTTAGAAAGGCATTCCAAATCTGAAGGTTAAGTATATTTTCAAAAATTCCTGTGTTTTCTTCTAGTACCTTAACAAAATTAAATTTTTTTAAATTAAAATGTTTTAAAAACATAAGCCTACTTTTGGAATAATTCTCCAGGAGAAACAGGGAAAGGTGAGCTGGGTGCAAAACATCCTCATAAAACGTGATAAAATACACACAAACCCTGGGCAATGAAACATCTGGGGTGAACTCCAGGAATCAGAATGCCCTCATACCTCCCAAATCAACAGTACAGGACAGCATGGGTTCTGCTGCTCACAGAGAAGAGCTGCCAGCTCTCTGAGCAAGCAGTCTTCAGGCCTCCCACTTACCTGCTCCTCCCCCCACCAAGTCATCTCTCCCCGCTCTACTCCCCAAAGCCACCTTCTCTGCACTCCTGGGGCTGCAGCCTCCCTCTGCAAGAGGGATAGGCCACTGCAGTGGGACCCCATTCTCGGCTATCCTCTTTCACTCTGGGACTTAACACCTCTCCATTGCCAGTGCCCTCCCATCTCCCACTTCTCCGGCCCACCTGTCCTCCCCTCAGCTCTGGGCATCTGGCCTCCTTGAACCCCTGTCACTATTTCAGCAGAAAATGTGGGTTTCAACCTTTGCACCAGATGACTTCATAAACTTTCCCCTCAAGCTTTTCAGAGCTGCTCTCTCTCTCTCTCCAGGCTAGAAATGTGCCCAGGTAGGGCCTCCAGATCCAAAATGGCTCCTCATGCAGCAGCAGCCTCTCCCAGAATTGACTAGAAATGCAGAGTTCCAGGCCACTTCAGACCTACTAAGTCAGAGTCTGCATCTTCACCAGCTTCTCAGGCAGTTAGAATGCACAATAAGGTTTGAGAACTAGTTATGTACCCCATCCCAAGCCTGGTGCTAGAGTACACAAAAGCAATATTATTTTACTGGGATTTAACTTTGTCTAATGGAATCTAAGTAGTTGTAAGTGGAGAGAGAGAGAGAGAGAGAAAGAGGGGGGGGGAGATCTAATGTTTTTTTGGAGATTTTCATTTAAATTTGCATTTGACTCTGGTTACTGACTCTGATCCCTACCATGAAATTCTCTCATCTGTTTCCATTCATGTTTGCTCATTGTAAATAGCATATAATCCAGTCCCCTTCCCTTGACCTGCCCTGGGCTCATTGTGGGCACTGGGCTGCTGGGGTCCTTACCCTCTCTCTATCAGGCAGCAGCAGGAGGGAGATGCGTAGAAAGGAGATGGGTCAGGGTATGTGAGCCCAGCTCCCTTCTGTCAGGTGCTGTGGTGGCTGCCTCCCTACCCTGCAGAGTCATCTTCTTCATACAGCTATGCCTTTTGTGTTCAGGAAAAGGTCTTGCTTGTTTTGGCCCTCTCAGACCCAGGGATGGGCAAGGGTCCCGCAGTTACCAGCACGGACTAGCCCCTCAGTGCTTCTGGAGCCCTAAATAGCCCCTTTCTTATGGGATCATGTAGCCCTGACAGTTTTTTTCTTTCTTGTAATGCAAGTGCCTGGCTTAAGATTTGATGGCTGGGGCATCCATTTCAAAGAGGCATCCCCTTCATACATGACTATATCTGTGGCTCAGATGGTTAAGAGCGCGAGCTCTGAGCAACAGGGTCGCTGGTTCGATTCCCACTTGGGCTAGTGAGCTGCACCTGAACTGAGCTGCTGCTGAGCTGCCAACAGGTGGCAGGATGGCTCAGCTGGTGAGAGCACGTGCTCCTAACAGCAAGGTTGCTGGTTGACTCCCGCATGGGATGGTGGGCTACACCCATCCACAACTAAGACTGAACACAGCACCTTGAGCTGAGCTGCCCTGAGCTGCTGATGGGTGGCCGGATTGCTCAGTGGTTAGAGCATGTGCTCTTAGCAACAAGGTTTCTGGTTCAACTTCTGCATGGGATGTTGGGCTATGCTCACCCGCAACAAAGATTGAACATGGCACTTTGAGCTGAGCAGGTGTGAGCTGCTGATGGGTGGCCGGATGGTGGATTGGATTTGGAGCTGAGCTAGCTGGGCCCTCCACAACTAAGACTGAAGGACAAAAACTTGCAACTTGGTTGTTCCCCTTCCCGAATTCCCCAATAAAATCTTTTAAAAAAAAAGATGACTATATTTTGAATGAATACATTGCCAGCCACATTACTATTAGGTTGTCAGAACAGTCATGACGTATTTTGTCTATGTTTTTCAAAGGTTATAAATAAATATATATTTTTTTTAATATATATTTAATATATTGAGTATATTATATATTTATATAATATATAAAGAACAAACATCAATCAATGCTATATTGCCCATTTTGTTCGATAACCTGTTGCCATCTTTCAGTGAGCTTCATAATTCCTAATTCATAGAAGGACCTGTCTTTATTTGTGAAAACCTGAACAAGGTGCTGATTTACAGTCTCATCTGAATTGAACCTTATACCACACGAGGAGTTTTGAAGAGAGCGAAACAAGTGTAAGTCTGACAGCGCAAGGTCAGGCAAGTGTGGTGGGTGTGGCAACACATCCCATCCAAGCTCCAATAATTTTTGACAGGTGATCACACTTGTGTGTGGTCTTGCATTGTCGCGATGGAACACAACTCCTTTACAATTAACAGGCTCTGGACGTTTCTGGATAATGGATTAGTTCAAACTGTCCAATTGCCGACAGTACACATTCGAATTGTTTGGTGTCTTGGTAGGAGCTGGAAAAACATGACAGTGAGAGCATAACCTTCCTTTGATGAATGTCTGCTTTCAATGTCATTTGAGGCGAATCATCACGTCGGAACCAAGACCGTTTGCACACCACATTGTTGTAAACAATCCACTTC